CGGCTGTAGATGAGAACTTCATAAAGTTGGCAACCATGAGTTGTGAGATGCCGCTTTTGTGGGTGTTTGAAGCCCCCCCCCGAACCCTGAAACCTCATAAAGTAGGACTCGATTTTTGCGACTTTTTCTTCCAGGGAGGACTCGATTTTTATGACTTTTTTTAACTTCCATTCGTGGCATGCATCCCAAGTAGCCACTGAGTGTTTACGACTTCCCCCTAAACCCTCAAACCCAAAAAAATCCCCAAACCTAAGCCCTTCAACCTGGTCCCAAACCCCCTAAACCCTTGAAGCTAATCCCAAACCCCGCTCAACCCTGCCACCTAATCCCAAACCCTAAACCCTTTTCAACCCCCTTAAAGTCTCACTCAACTCAAGCCACAACAACACCCACAGGAGTTCGGGGCTTTAGGGGTTGGTGTTTAGGGTTTGGGACTTCGTGCGATTGTACGTTTCGGCTGTTATATAGGGTTTAAGGCTTCGGGGGTGGTGTCGGTGTTCAGGGTTTCCGGCTTCGGGTTGTTATAGGTTTCGGGTTTCGAGTTGTATAGTGTGTTGCTGAAGGTTTTGGGATGTCAGGGTTTAGGGTTTGGTGTTGAAGGTTTTGGGGGTTTCGGGGTAGTGTTTGGGGGTTCTCCACAGCCAAGCCGAAACTCAAAACTTTGCAGAAGAGTTAAGGCCCAAAGCCACACCGAATCTCGAAACCCCATAAAAGCGCCGGAATGTTTGAAACTTGACTTAGCTCTGACACAACTCAACAGCAAATCCAAAGCCCAGCCGAAATCCCAAACCTTATACACAGACTTAATTATCTATAACATAGTCTAGGGTGTATGCCTGACTGTGCGGAATAGACAACTGAGTCTTTCAGACTTCCTTGTATAGAAAGGAGCTTGTAGAACTCAAGCATGTAGTTAAAACCTATAGCCGACAGATGAAGCCGAAGATCCCGGAACCCCTTCGTATGTGAAAAACCCTTTGCTGCAGGCCATGCTGCACGATCGCGACGGAGGTACCATACAGGGTTTGGGGTTTAGACTTCTAAGGTATCGTTTTGCTGTGTTTGGCCGTTGCCGCCTGGCCCCCCTCTCTAAGCCCAAACCTTAAACCCTGTTTCCGAACCCCCACAACTCCAAACCTCATCGCTTCCGAACCCCAGCCCCGAAACACCGCCTCCGGCTTAGAGGGCTTTATATATATATATGAGAGAGAGAGAGAGAGGTTTGCACGTTTGGGATTTTGGCCATCGGGATTGCATTGCATATCTTGTCTATCCGACTATTATTCTCTATAGGGCCACTTATAAACATCAGAAGCCTTACACGGTTTGGAGCTGTGCGAGGGCTTGCATTATATAAGGTGTGAGGCCTATATAGGGCTTCAGAAGGTTTGGGAAGTCGAGTACATATAGCTGAAAGTTATTGGGGTCTTGGGGTTTGTGGGCTTGGCTGGCCTTCGGGTTTATGGCCTTTTAGTCCTTGTGGGGTTTTGTGGGCCTTCGGGTTTTGAATTTCGGGTTTAGGGCCTTAGGGTTATTGGGTTCTTTGGTGTTTTGGGGCTCGGGGTTTGGAATTTCCGGTCTGGTGCCTTATCGGGTTGTTGGGGTCTTTGGGGCTCCAGGCTTTTTGTGCTTGGTTTTTTCGTACTGGGCTTAAGGGTCACTCAAGGTGCATACTCTCTTTCTCTCAAGGTTTAAAGCCTTCAAGGTGTACAGTCAAGGTGTACAGGCTGCCTTTCATAAAAGGTTTCAGGCCCTCCAGGTGCACTCATTTTCTCTCGAGGTGGCATACCTAGAAAAGCTGGGCCCTTACTGTAAAACCTTTGCCTGACAAACCCTTCACAAGAAACACGTGTCCAAACACTCCCGGTGTCCGTGGCCATGTCAGCATGCCAGAGTGAGCTAGAAAGAGAGAGAGACAAATTCAAAAAGCATTTAAAGATAGTCGCGGTCTTTATGCTCTTGAAGTATCTACATTTACATTTAGACATAGACAGATGTACACACAGACACACACACATAGATATGTAAGTAAAAATCTTTATCTGTGTATATATGTCTATGTGTAAATGACAATGAATGCTTGATCCTGAATATTTTTAAGGGTTTGTATATGAAACATGCATGTGTATGCATCTGTTCATGTGTCTGTATATCTGAAGCTGCACATGCATACCTTGTATTTAATATATGTATATGTAGATTATGTAAATGCATATGACGGTCATCGACGGCCAAAAGGGAGTAGATGTATACATATATATGTATGTATATGTTTATGTATAGATATATATATATATATATGTATATGTCTATATATATATATATATTTATATCTAGGCAACAGCTGCAGCCACATGTTTCACCGCAATGGCTTCCAGGAAAAGAGCACGAAGTGGAGGACAGAGGCAAAGGCTCGAGGAGGTGAGACGAAAAGAGACTGCGACTGAGGGCAGCCTTTTGGCGGAACACCTACTTCAGAAGTGGTCATGGGGCGAAATGAGTGCCCAAGACATACAAGCTATCGCAGATCTGGCTGTTCAAGATTCCGAGCAGAAGCGAGATCTTACAAAGCTGAAGGAGCTCGGGGCGGCAGGATTGCATGGTAAGTATGCCAACAAGGTTTACCAAGCAGTTTACAAGACGGGTGCCCAAGGCATTCGTCTTCCAACACCTTTTTTGGTCAAGGTTCCTTTCAAGAATCCATGGGGCATGATGCTGCAGGCTGTGATGCTTCCCCATGTCCTCTTTTCGTCCATCTATGCCTCCTACAGGGCCACATGGGAGAAGTCCATCTGTCCGAATTTGGATGCTCTGGAGCGATTTTGGAATGTTATGGTGGAGAGCAAGAACCCGAACATTACACCCGCCATGACCCGAAAAAAGAATTGGAAGCGGCGGCTGATACCACTGGCCTTACACGGGGACGGTGTTCCCATTACGGGGCTGGGCAAATCCTGGGTGCAGACTGTCACCAACTTTGCTTGGTATAGCTTACTGACGATGAGCACTTCCACAGCTGACTCCTTGTTCTTTGTGTATGCCATGGTGGATAAAATGAGAGTGGATGCCAAAGATCTGACTGGGACCGCACACTTTGTTTTCAACCTGCTTCGTTGGAGCTTCCAGGCACTCTTCGATGGTGTTTGGCCGTCAGCTGACCACTTGGGTCGAAAGCATCTTGGCGGAATTTCTGGTAACTTGTGCAGACCCGTTGCACACACACACATATGTATATGTATATGAAGATGTATATGCAAATGTATGTGTTATGTATATGTATATGTATATCTATATCTATATGTATATCTACATGTATATGTATATGTCTATATATATATATATATGTATATGTATATGTAGACGGACAAAATACATGTATATTCACAGGTATGTTAATGTGTTCTTTTATGTTATTGTGTGCGAGGGATATCCTAAATATGCAGAATGTGAGCTGTCCCTGCCGGTCTTTTCGCTTCACAGCATTTTTTGTTAAATCAAACAGACACAGTAGATACTGTTGTGAAGATTGGCAAGCACAACAAATCAATGCAGAAGTTTTTCACACTTGATGCCACAGCTTAGGTATGATGCAAGCTCCATCGAAGGCCAGAAAGCTGGCAAACCGCTCGCTGCGGGCTACTGTGCAGTCCTTTTTTCACTGGTGGGAGACCTCGACTATTATGCTACAATACTGGATGTGGCGAGGTCGACTTCAGTCACTGCCCCGTGCAGTCGCTGCCGAGCGACGAAGTATGGCGACATGTCCTGGCAGGATTTTAGGCCAGCTGCCAACTGGATGAGCAGTGCTTACTCCCCGGCGGGCTGGAAAGCTTTGCCGGCTGCGGACAAGTCCACATGCCCGCTTTTTCATATGCCGTGGACATCAATCTGCAACCTGGGGTATGACTACATGCATTGCAAATATTTGGGTGTTGACAGGATCCTGTATTCCTCAGTGCTTTATTGACTGGTTTTCCATGTGTTGGCATTCGGCAGCCCAGAAGCAAACATGGCCTGGTTGTGGTCGGAGATTCAAAAGCACTACAAGGCCTTTGAAGTCCATGCCCGCTTTCAGTACCTGAACAGGATATCAATGTTCTTCAGGGCCCAAAAGAAGAGTTTGAGCCTACGAGGCAAAGCGGCGGAAAACCGATCGCTGGCGAGGCCGCTGCTTGCCATATGGGCCGCCCGAATGACAGCAGGCATCGCGGTCCACAGAAAGCTCCATTTGCTATTGAAGTTAAATTGGAGGCTGGAGGAGCTTTTGGAGGTGAACAAGTTTGAGTTCGCTTTTGCCGAAGCAGATGCCAATGCATTCAGGGATGCAATGACTGGGTTCTTGCTTCTTCAGAAGGAGCTTTCCCAACACTTCAGCGACCATGATCCGAAGCTGTTCAATTACACGGAGAAGTCGCACTTTCTGCAACATCTTGGCCTGGAGGCCCGCTTTATAAACCCAAGGATGATTTGGTGCTTTAGCGGCGAGGACATGCAACGAAGGGTTCAGCGGGTCACAGCAGCCTGTGCGAGAGGCCAAAGGCCAGGTCAGACTGAGGTTAAGATGTGCCAGCGATACCGCGTCGCACTGCACCTCCAGTTCCGAAAGCACGGTGAGTGAAAAGCAGGGGGGCCTCAGTAGGAAAGCCTTAAACCTTTTGCACAAAGCGACAGAGTCTCCCAACAGCTTGCTGTGCCAGGAAAGTTCTTCGTGTGCGACGATGGACCTATGAGTGGGACCGAGAGAGAAGCAACCGTGAGCGAGGATGGACCTGTGACTGTGCGACCGCGAGAGAGAGAGAGAGAGAGAGAGAGAGAGAGAGAGAGAGAGAGAGTGTGTGTGTGTCACTCTGTCTGTGAGCTGTGAGTCTGTCTGTGTGTGTCACTCTGTCTGTGTGTGTGTCTTGTTCAGGGTTTCGCTCTGTCATGCTTCTGGTCATGTTTCTATATATAACATCTTGCATTTTGCACCTATATATAACCGTTTAGAAGGCCCCCAAACCCTCAACCCTGAAGCCCAAACCCCTAAACCCTCAACCCTCAAGCCTAAACCCGTATAAATCCCACAAGATCAGTTCAAGTGTATATAGCACCAACTCTTGTGCTTTCTTTGTGCCGAACAATGTTTTGTTACATGTTTACTTTTCATGTATGTTTTACAGGCTTGTGAATCTGTACCAGATGCAATACGGTCAAAAGAGAGAGTATGCTTATTGTTTTGGCAGCTAATGCCGAGGTTTTTCCTCTGAAATGCCATTATGTTTCCTAATGGCCGTGTGTTGCCACTTGGCCACAGGAAGATCTGAAGAGTTGCCTTTACCCTTTCAGAGGCCCTGCTCCTCAAGCAGCAGGCACTCCTTTGTTTAATGGCAGTGTTCTGCCACTTGGCCACAGGAAGATCTGAAGAGTTGCCTTTACCTTTCAGAGGCCCTGCTCCATTTTTGGTAGCTAATGCCGAGGTTTGTCCTCCCAAATGACAGGAAGATCTGAAGAGTTGCCTTTACCTTTCAGAGGCCCTGCTCCATTTTTGGTAGCTAATGCCGAGGTTTGTCCTCCCAAATGCCATTATGTTTCCCAATGGCCGTTTTCTGCCACTTGGCCCTACAATCCAGCTGGACACACACACACAGAGACAGACAGAGGAGCAAACTTCCAC